ATTTTCGTTTTAAACACAACAGTACTCTACAAAAATATCTATCTAATATTGGAACCGTATCTATCGTACTTACTTGATCATGCATATTCTAACAGACAAGTTAATGGTGAACATGATTACTATGCCATTTTGTAGAGCATGGCAAACTATTTCGATCTACGCTATCACTTTTCATATTGGATGTATAAAAGAAAAAAACACCTATAGAATAGAAACCATAGTTATTATTAACTGAAACATCCAAAACGGATAAATCCTCAAAATTATTTAGTCCTAGAAAAATTTTTTTGTTGCATTGAAAAAACAACAAAATAAGTAGATCGAAATATGCAACATTTTATGGTTTGTTCTTCTATCCTATTGAAAATGAAATCTAGAGTTTGTCATATTTACGACTTTATTCGATAATGTCCTTTATTTTAATTTGATTTTATATACATAAATAAAATATATTTCAGAGTCAATCAACTCGGCTTTTTTATGATCCGAATTCTCTATCAAGTTTTAATGGATATCGGATTGTTCATACTCATTTTGATTTAAATGTTGATTTTGATTCAAATATTCTTGATGGCTATGTCCAACTTGATGTTAAACCATTAAATAATGAATTATGTACTTGTTCATCAACAATAACAACTGAAAATAAAGAAATTCCAAATAATCATGGAAATCAACTTGTTCTTGATTCGCGTCATTTAAATATAAAAAAAGTTCTTTTAAAATCGAATGATACAGAAAAATTGCTTTCATTTCAAGTTGATACAGAACGTGAATCATTAATTATTGAAATGAATGATATATCAAAAGATTTAGTGATATCTATTATTATTTACTATTCAACATCAAGTACAAAATGTACTGCATTGCAATGGCTTACAAAAGAACAAACAGCTGATAGACAACATCCATATATGTTTAGTCAATGCCAAGCTATACATGCACGTTCATTATATCCATGTCAAGATACACCTGGTGTTAAAAGTACGTTTACAGCAAAAATAACATGCCCCAAACCATTGACTGTCGTAAGTAGAAAAACATAACTTTATTTTGAATATTTCAATATCTTTTTTTTTAGTTAATGAGTGGTATACAAACAAAACATGATGAAAATACAAATGCATTTTATTTTGAACAACAGCAAGCTATACCATCTTATTTAATTGCTATTGCTGTCGGACAATTAGTTTCACATGATTTAAGTCCTCGTATTCGTGTTTGGACTGAACCAAGTATGATTAAACAATGTCAATATGAATTTGAAGAAGCAGAGCAATTTTTAACTGCTGCTGAACAACTTCTGGGAGAATATCAATGGAAAAGATATGATTTTCTTGTTTTACCACCATCTTTTCCTTGTAAGTAATGCTGATAATTATTTTTGTTATTAACCTTCAATTGTACAGGAACGAAAGTTATGTTGACATTTGCCCAGGATCGATGATTTCGATCTTTGAAAACAGGTAGATCTAGTCAGAACTGGCCTGAAAGGTGCAAGAAAACTATAGTTTCCAATCAAACTTGAAAGCAGTATTCTGAGCCGGAAAATCTACGCATTTTTCTATTGACTTCTTGTCACTTCCAGCTAGAAATAACAGAAAACTAGCGAAAACCACCGGTAAAATCTGCAGACTTTCCAATGTGAAATATTGCTTTTAAGTTCCATCGATAATCTGTGTTTTCCTATTGAAACTGGTTCCAGGTCCATTTACGTATGACTATCACTACCTCAATCATTGACGTAGTTGAAACTTTTTTTCAAAGATAGATCAACACTATATGAACATCTAGACAACATTGACAGAATAATAGAGTCAGATGTAATAGCATTTCATTAGAAAGGGTTTTGTCGAACTTTTGCTTATCTAGACAGAAATACTCGATAAATAAATGAATAATAAATTTACATGAATTTTGAAGAAAAAATAGCATCCAAGTCGAAAAATAAAGCAAAAATAAGGTAGATCAAGCACCATATTAATAGTATAGTTTTAATCATTTTTCTATTTATTTGATTCAACATTTTTTTTAAAAGTTTTATTTCATGTGACTTGATCTAACAAATGATCATCTTGAAACGTCAAGATTAATTTTTGTGCCGTTCGACACATAAGAAAGAGAAGTGAGACCAAATTCGAAGAATACAGAGCTCATAATACCAGATTACTTGTTGGAAGAAAAATTCTCGACTGAACTATGCGAGAATCGCACCATTAACAAATATGTATCACATTTTGTGAAACGTTAACTACATAGAACATTGAACTGTAAGGCGAGAATTCAACTTTTTACGTCATGAAAGAAACAACTTCGAGAGAATTTTTTTGTGCGCTGTTGCAAATCATAGATAGGAAAGCACATTATTTTATAGACAAACTCAAAACCTCTTAGGTAATACTGATTTGATTATGTCTAATAAATTGAACATAATATCGATCCATGTTACACGTCTGTTCGTCTTACCACCGTCAAAGAACACCTGTGGGCATATCGTGGTAGAATGGCGGTCAGAAGATATCTCACTATTTAAGTATCAAACTACCGCTGATTGATCTTAGGCATACCACAGTATTTTTGTCGCTAGTGGCGAACACCGTCAGTATAACGCACCTTATACCAAATGGCTCATCGATGGCTTTTGTGCAGTGGAGTCACATGTGGAGTACACTTCACTGACCATAACAATGATGCGAATCGATTGTCTTTATATATCAATATAAGATAAATGGTCAAATCAATATCAGTCGATAAAAACAATATTGTGAAACGCCATCTTAAATCAGATGTTTCTTTAGTAACTCATTTTATGTGAAAATCATTGCTGAATCTGATTTTATCGAACGAACTTTTGAAATACTTTCTAATTAAATTAATATATTTAATTTATTTAGATGGCGGTATGGAAAATCCATGTATGAATTTTCTTACACCAACTTTACTTGCTGGTGATCGTTCATTAATAAGTACAATTGTTCATGAAATGACACATTCTTGGACAGGTTAATTATCTAGCTGATTAGTTTTCTTCATTGAAAATGTATTTTTTTTAATAGGAAATCTAGTAACAAATGAAAATTGGGAACATTTTTGGTTAAATGAAGGATTTACATCGTTTATTGAAGCAAAAATACTTGGCAATTTAGATAAAACAAATGGAAAAGAAGTACGAAGATTTCATGCTGCTCAACAATGGCAAGATTTAAAAACTTCTATTGATACATGGGGACCAACTCATCCATATACTTGTCTTGTTTATCGTTTGAATAATATTGATCCTGATGATGCATATAGTTCAGGTACATTTTTTCTTTGATTTGAAAACAAAAAAAATATTTTTTCCTATTTTCTTTAGTTCAATATTATAAAGGTGCAGCTTTTCTTTGGCATCTCGAACAAAATATTGTTGGTTCTGAATCTAAATTTGATGAATTTCTTCGTTCATATATAAGCAAGTTTGAACGAAAAATCTTAAATACTGATGATTTTATTCAATATTTTCAATCCTATTTTCCTCAAGCACCATCTGTAGATTGGCAATCATGGCTTTATACTCCTGGGATGCCACCAATAACACATGATTTTTCTACACAACTCGAAGAACAATGTCGTGAATTAGCTGCCCAAGAATCATGTATTACAAAAGAACAAATGAACATGTTAAGTGCAAAACAAATTGCTTATTTATTAAATCTTCTTCTTAATCAACAATCAAAAATAACTTATGATTATATAAAACAACTTGATGCTAATTGTGATATGTCGAAATATTCGAATTGTGAAATTTGTTTTCGTTGGTATCAATTATGTATACGCTTTAAATATGAAAAACCTTTAGATAATATATTTAAATTTCTTGAAATAATTGGTCGAATGAAATTTGTTAAACCATTATATACAGAATTTAAGTCATCATGGCCAGAAATGATGCCAAGAGTACAAACTTTCTTCGATGAACATAAAAAATATATGAATCTAATTACTGTTAAACAAATTGAAATTAGACTTAATAATCAGAACTAAATTATTAGAACAAAAAAAAAAAAGAAACATTTCATTTTTTTCTATTATAATATTTATTATACTTGAATAAAATAACCAATATTCCAACTTAAGTTCAACATATTCCAGAAAATTAATCAATCTTTTGGTTTTGATTTTTTTGTCTCAATGACGTTGAATTCTTGTCTTTTTTAATGTAGTATTGCAGCAGTCATGTGTGGGTGTGCCAAAAATTGTGAGAAAACATAAATATGAATTGCGCAATACTTTTCACACATATTCGTTTTTTTTCATCAAATGTTTAACTATTTTATGAAATAGAATTTCAGATAAGCATATCAACACATTCTTCAAACAAGTTGTATTAGTCATTATAGAGGGTAATGTCTAACTGTTTTGATAGTCTTAGTAATGAGCTGTTGTTTGAAATATTCGATTATTTATCATTCAATGATCTAATCAAATCTTTCTGTGGATTAAACCAACAACTTAACAATACCGTTAAAGCTTATCCATCGAAGATTGATCTATCGTATAGAAATGATAACAATCCTCTCCAATATGAATCATTTTGTTGTCGATCATTGAAAATATTCGGGAATGATCAACATAAACTTCAAATGATAATTTCACATTTAAACTTTGCAAGTCTTCAAGCTGTTACATTTAGTAATATAAATCTGACTTGTTTGAAATTTTTCATTGAGCAATTACCCATGGAGCAGCTTGAATCGATCGTAATAAAAAGTATAGATACGTACCGTGATCCCAAGTCGACGCAACAACAGATTTGGCTAAAGATAATGACATCTGGTCGGGATTGTCTTCGCTATTTGGATCTACCGTATAAAATTTCTAATTTTGATACTAAATAGATGCAATTTGACTTTTCTGTACTCAAACATCTCATTCTTAGAAGCATCTCAAGCAATAAAATGCTTGCTTTAATGCATTATACACCTAACTTACATTATTGCATAATTTTTCTACACAGTCGAATGACAGATCTTTCCGTTATTGATGTATGCCTTCCTAAATTCATTCATGTTTATTTAAATATAAGAGTTGATTGGTCATTTGAAGATTTCTGTCGATTTTTCACCATATGTCCTCATGTAAAACATCTGAATATAATATCATTTGTTCAAGAACAATCTTTGGACGAATTATCTGCATGGAAAACATTGATCGAGCACTATTTACCTGATCTTATTTATTTTCATCTTCATTTTGATATTGAAGAGTATCCTGAATATAATATATATCCACGATGTAATTTGAGCTCGTTTAACAATGACGAATATTGGCTTCAACCACGACCTCAATTTCAAGTTATACAAGATGTTAAGGGAATATATTTATAATCTCGAATTTTTTATCGTCAACTCTTAGATTGATTTTCAAACTCTCCTTTTCGATTCTACTTTGAAAAGATTTTATTCATAAAAAGAACTTTTGCATATAAATAAATAATCAAGATCTGATATTAAAGAATCGTTATTACTCAATAATTGTATACGAAAAACTTTATCCAAAATATTGAACTCTTTCATGTTATGAGAATATACATTTAAATATATAAAGAATATTTATTTAGCAAGAATTTTTGTTTTTCCCTTATAGGTTTATTCTACAAAATAAATTGTTTTCCTTTTGAAATTTTAATGATCGTTCTGTTAAAAAAAACACTGAAGCAATTGCATAAAATATTTTTTTCTAGTAGAACGAGTTTCAAACAAAATACTATTCCATTCTGCATGATGTTTATATTTTGTTGATGTCTGATTAAAAATACTGGCTAATAAATAGCATTGCGAACAATGGTGTAATTGTGTATCATGCCGTTTAAGAAACAGGTAACCCATATTAAAATCTAATAAAATTTCATTGATTTTGCTTAATTTTTCTTCAATTTAATTTATTAGATTATCGGTTGTATATGAAATAATAGTTGACTTGGTTTTGGGTATTCATGATATTATTGATACGTATGAAAATCTTCCATTCATTGAGTATTAATATTCTTAATGCATAATAAATAGAATATCGGACGAAATTTGATGGAGAGAAAGGATAAAGATATGAACAGTAGAAATACGATAGCTTGCTACTTAAATAAACTGACAAATAACATATATGAAGTAAAAGATGAATTGTATCAATATACTTTATAAAAAGGATGTATTGTCAAAAAAATATTTAAAGACAATTAGCAGAAGAAAAGAAAATTTTCAAAATGTGATAAGGAGTATAGTTCAAGTTTGAATTTCATAAATTTTAAACTGTAACTCTAATTGAATGAGTGATGATCTATAAATGAGATATAATTATAAATTTCACATAAGTATTGGCTAGAATGTGAGTGTAGAAATGAACATTAACACCAATATTCAGACAACAGAAGACTCCAGATCTTCTATTTTGTTCCATTTCTTTTCATAATTTTTAATTAAAATGATTCCTTAAAAATTCAAAAAGATTTTGAGGATTTATGAAGATATTTTCAGAATTTTAAAAGTTCAAACGTAACGTTAATTTCAACCTTTTAAGATTTTCAGCTCAAAGTCGTGAAAACTAAGCATATTTTGATATAAATATATGAATTAAAGTTTCAACTTTGTAAGAAATTTATTAGGAAGGAAGAATCTTTTATTACGGGCAAAGTTTTACAGATATTTATTGTAGTCGATTTGTCAATTATTCTTTATCGTATACTTATTAAACCAATAGATTATTTGTATATGAAGATCTACCAAAATGGTGCCAATGTAGGGTCATTGATTATTGTTATAGTGACATATTAGTTTTAAAAGAAAAATCAAAAATTAATCCATCGCTTTTTTTTTAACTTCATATGAAATAATTAAAGCAACTACTTAAAAATCATCCTTGTTTTCTTTATGAAAAAACAAAGAATAGTCTTGCATTGAAAAACTACATATTCGAAAAGTCAATGTTCTGTTTAGAAAATGTCAACGAGAAAGTATATCTTTGTTGTACGAGTGATGAAATAAGAAAGTATGATTTGCATGAATGATGGCTATATGAATCGGTAAATTGTTTTTGATTTTATGAGAGTAAAAGAATTGTTGATGCTCAATTAATAGTCTTGTAAACATTAAATTCCATTTAGTGATGATTTGTGTACAATTTTTTATATTTTATAATGAGAAACATTTAAACGTAATAATAATTCAATTTTTTCAAACTCTATATTACGTATCTACTAGTCAATAATGAAGAAATAACCCTATTTGAAAACAACTACTCATTTAAAAAAATATCGAGTATTGTACAGATGCTGTTACAAGATTTGTATAAGCACCAAAGAAAATTTGACTTTACATATCGTTTTCTGATTCGTGCACAGTAGAGATATACAGGGTAAGCTTTTGTTTTTTCGTAACCTATACCTTGACTGAGAAAAATTTTCTTACCCTGACCCTACCCAACTATTTGGAGTAGGATAACCCTGCACTTCTCTAATGTAAGATTTTGATTGGGTATAGTTGAAAATAAATTTTGGTAACTGGTATTTCATGATATGTAGCATTCAACAATATTATTTATGTTCGAAAAGCATTGCAAGCTTAGTATAAATGTTTTATATAACACTTAGAAATGATATGAATTCGTGTAAAATGAGCTTTCCTGTATTTTGAATAATTTTATAGCAAGAAGAAACATTTATCAATTCATTGGCAGAAGTGATCTCTTGATTATATATGTCATTTAGAAAAATAACTAAATTGATCATTGTCCATTGTTTTCGTTTAGCGGTCGTGATATCAGTTGAAAAACATGCTGTTGTTTTTGTTGATTGCGTATTTCATTTGAATGCTCGAGAGTGGAACGTTGTTCACACTTTTCACAGAATATTAACGAAGCACAATGAATACAATCGAATCGAATACCTTGAACTTCATTGTGACAAGCATCACATCTGAATAAGAATACTATAACAGTCAATATTTAATACATTGCGATGCTACTTACTGAACACCTGTATGCACTATAAGCTTTTGTTGCTCAGGAGAAGGTAGATCATTTGTAACTTGCTGTGGACCTGTATTGTTAATGGGTGCGTAAGGAAGAGCTTGAGACCAATTAAAACCTTTACCACAACCAGACTGATCGTCACCGCCATGATAATTTCGACCGCATACCATTAGATCGCATCCACTTAGATGCTGTACAACTCGTTGACAGTGTGGACAGAGACGACAACTTTGAGCTTTATAATTTTCATCAGCCAATAGTTCATTGTAACGTTGAGCCAGTTCTTGATTTCGTTGAACATTAGCAGCTTTTTGTCGTTCATAATCTTCCACCTGTGCCCTAAAGTTAGCATCTTGTTGTGCTCGAGCTTGCCAATAATTACCACGTTCTTTGAAGAAAAAACAATCATACAATAACAAAAGCTGTTAGTGCAATCTCTGTGCGGTTAAAGTGTGAAATATGATATAGCTGCTTCTACTAATCCCAGGAAAATTGCTTAATTTATGTTTTTTCGGACACATTTCTTCATCATATTTTAACTTAATCTTCCAGAAACACAATAAGGAGGTACTTCATATATTAGAACCAAGCGTTATTTATATAGGGTCTTTGATCCTATATCAACAACACCTATCACGGTCTTTGATGGGTTCCCAGAGTGTCTATCATTGTTTGTGTGTGTGCGGAAGGACGGGGATGGATGGAAGATTGAGTCCTAATTTCTACTCTATATACTTCAATACTTCTTTTAGATCGTGTTTCACAAAATTCACATTAAATGATAAATCTACCTGTATTACACCAAAAGAACCAACGTTGTGTAATTTCAGGAATTTGTTGGCATGTTGTTCGAAAATGGTATTGTTGACTACAAAGTGAGCAAAACTCATAGCCACACATGGGGCATTGAACTTGAAAGCGGTCATTAGGATTCTGTGCCTCAGCTACCCATTTGCATGCTTGGTTTGGACATCTAATTACTCCTACAGTACCGCCAGCATAAGCACTGAATGTTTTCTGAATTTGGTAATCCAGAAATTGTTGCTTTCGATCATCTGGTACTCGCAATTGTCTGATTTCTCCTTCTTGCAGTTCGTAAGCACACAGTCCACATGTAAGTATTCCATTACTGTTCATCTTTGATGTACATGAATCTCCAAAGCATCCATAGCATAGTTTATGATGTTCCTCGCAACCGAAAACAAAAATATCATCATAAACACATGTTTCCATACACACGTCGCAGACACGAGTTGGAATCTCAAACGGAAAGGCACCATCTGTTTAGAAAAAATATCAAAGTAATTATGAAATAAAAAAAATGAATTAAAATTTACCAAACTCAGCTAGTGTTTCAACAATGGAATGTGGATCGAGTGGCAAACGGGTCTTCTTTCTATTTTCGATAAAGACTCGAATCTGTTGTACCGTTAGTGGATATTTAGTTCGAGGTAAGATGAAATCGATTAACGCTTGTTGTTGTTGAGCTGAAGGAACATTCCTACATTGTCGTGAATGACCATCCAATTGATGAACATTATATAGACAATGACAATATTCACAAGGAATCAAATTTTCTGAGTTACATGAAACTACATGTTTTTGAAAATCGTCCATGGTATTAAAATCGACATAGAAGGAACATGAAGGACATTGAGCACGTTGAGTACTTTTGACACAAGTTAATAAACGCTTAATAATATCGGCTTCGAGTGGTAAGCATGCTACATCATATCGAGAAAGTTCATAATCACAGAGAGTCGAATGACAAACAGGAGCAGTGTTGGATTGAATGTATTTATCCATCGCGTGTCGAAGACATTTAAGACAATAAATATGATGTGATCGACAAGGGAGAGAATGACCGGAATTTTTCGAAAGATCTACTGCCGATGAACTACGATAACAAACGTTAAGAGAATTGAGATAAATGATTTGCTTACCATGTAAAACATGAGAGTTGTTTTTGTCTAGTTGTTGATTTCGATTTTGAACTTGAAGATGATTCAGAGATACATGCATTTACATGAGTAACATAGTCGGATTCGGCAATTTCTTTAGAACAGATGATGCATTTCTCAGTGGTTTTTCTCTGTGTTTGTTTCATTGGCAACTTTGTCATGCATCTGTCTACATGACCTGAGTAAACGTCTTCGGAAATCATTTCGGAGCATATAATGCATTGTTTAGTTTTCCTCGAATTTGTAGATCTCACTGGTGACCTTGTACCACATCTGTCTACATGATCTGCATAGGCATCTTCAGCGATCATGCCGGAGCATATAATGCATTGTTTAGTTTTCTTTGTGTTTGTAGATCTCACTGGTGACCTTGTACTGCATCTGTCTACATGATCTGCGTAAACATCTTCGGAAATCATTTCGGAGCATATAATGCATTGTTTAGTTTTCTTCGTGTTTGTAGATCTCACTGGTGACCTTGTACCACACCTGTCTACATGATCTGCATAGGCATCTTCAGCGATCATTTCGGAGCATATAATGCATTGTTTAGTTTTCTTCGAATTTGTAGATCTCACTGGTGACCTTGCACCGCATCTGTTGACATGATCTTCATAGACATCCTTAGCGACCATTTCGGAGCATATAACACATTCTTTAGTATCTGTTCGACTTGAAACATAAGTTGTTGCTTGTTGGCGAATCTTAATAGAGGTTAAGAAATAAATTTTAACAATGTAGAAGCACTTAAAATAATTAGTTCGCCACGATAGTTTGAAAACTATTCATTTATAAGTCACTGATATCAATTTTCTTTATGTAGCTTTTTGATGCAATAAAATTTTTAGGCTTCATTCACCATTTTAAATCAATAATTTGCTGAATCTGAGTAAAAAATTCCTCAGATGGTCTTTTTCAATGGAGTATCATAAAATATTCTATAGCCTATGTAAAGCAGCGAGTGATACTACGCAATTTCATTTTGTAGCGTATAAACAACTATATTTAGATATAAATGCCGTGCACGTCTAATTTTATAAAAAATGAAAGGTGAATTTAGCATTTAATCTTACTGGTGTAATTGTTGATTTCTGTCGATTTTCATACTTGTCGTTTTTCAAGTTGTTTCCACCTGTACATATTCTATAATGCCCAGCCAAATCTTCGACTTTTTTTCCACACAAAGCACAAACTTTCAATACCGATTGAACTTCTTCATCTTTATCTAGGAGTCCACATTCTGCGACATGAGTACGATATTGAACTTCATCGATGAATACATTGCACAATCCACACATTATTTTTCCATTCCTTAAATATACATAGATATCACATGGGTTTTAACAATGAAATGTTTCTGTGTAAAAGATAGAACAATATCTATTATTTTTCTACAAGGATTTTTTATCATCATTTAAATCTGTGCTAATTGAAAATTACTTGATTAGCAATAAACATGTTATTTCAAGTTAAAGCGAAATTACCGTGTTGTTTTTGTGGACATTTTTTTTCTTCGGCAGCGAATGAAATTATTACTATGAAATGTGTTGATGTTTTTAAGATAAAATAATGTTGCAAGTCAACTTCATTTCTTATGTGACTGCCCTTCCAAACACCCTATGAAAGAAAGAAAAAAAAATTACTGCATGTATGTCATTTAGAAACCCCTTTTCTCTCAAATAGAAGAAAAAAAAGAACATGTGCACTTTGACTGGTTTGTGCTGGCTTTTGCCGACAATGAATCATACATTCATGGCGATAAAAATAGATGAATTTTACAAATGTTTTAGTCTTTGATAGAATCTGAAAATTTTGTCACAGATCCTTGCAGGAAAAAATTGGGTTCCATTGGACAAAGTAAGGTCCGTGTCGTAAGCAGGTTCGATAGATTTTCAAAGTCTCTTAAAAACTCTCAAGATCTGCTTTTAAAATTTTTCCCTTGAACATGAGTTCTGTCATTCCCTATGATCTAGCTATAGTAAAACTTTGTGGACAATCAGCTGTACTCTAGTGAAGAACCAGAAGTGACTCAAAAGAAGGAGAGGAGGTGGTACCCTTGAGATAATTAGTTTTCGCCATCGTCGTCGGTATCTCAAATGATCATCTCGTTTGTAATGGTGTGTCGGAGAAGACATATCATTTATCATCGATTTCGTTAAATGAACACATGATTCCTACTTTTATCAATTATATCATAAGTGAACTTTATAAGAACAAACAGATGGACTTCTTGGTATTAGCATGATCTTTAATATAGTCCTCCACTATTAGAAACAATAAGTTTCAAATCCAATAAAATGATAGAGAATTATTAAGAAACAGTTCATGTTTAAATATGTGTTTATTTCAAGCACAAAAAAGAAGGTAATTAATACTTTAGATTAACAAAGTTGAACAGCTTGTGATGAATCAATATTTCGTTAGGAAAAAAATGAATCGATTTAGTCTTTCAAAATTCTTAATTTTGTTTCTGCTAATGCGGCATTTAAATCTTCTTGAGTAGCGATGAATGGTGGATTGCGTTCTGTACAAACAGTACTCATATGTTTAATTAATATACCAAAAAATATATGAAAATCACGAGGATGTCGTAATTGTTTCATAGTATCAACACATGATGTTCTTTCGCCCAATAAAAAACATATATCAGGTAAAGATTTACATTGATAACGGGCTTTCGTCCGTAGATAATCAAATACGTAGTCAATATAATTAATTAATTGTAATTCATCCCATTTTAAATCAATTATTGGTATTTTATCTTGACGATTCCATGAAATATTCATTAGAGTAGTTGGGTTTTTAGCAATAAAAACATAGAACACAAAGCTATTCTTTATTTCAGTACCTTCTCCCCAATTACCCAATGCTAAGTGTAAAATATCATCATTAGTTATAGAATCAGCAAAAATTTGTAGTGTACTTAAATTTGGATCAGCTGAATTAAAAAAGAAATTACTTTCATCTAATGAATCTACGATAACTGTTGTAGTAATTTGCAGTGCACCTAAGAAACTAATTAATGAAGCAAGTTGATCGCGATAAGAACGATCTAAAGGGGGTAATGGTGAATATTTTGTTTTTGTATACATTGCCAATAATACTCTTAAGGGACTATCAGCAACTGTAGTATGACGTTTCACTCTAATTCTACGGTGCCGTTCTGTTAATTCATCAAACATTTCCTGCTCGCCATTATTAGACTTAAGATTATAACATGGTATGCTGCAATCTAATATCGAATATTTTGTTATTTCACGAAGTAATACATTAACTATTTTGTATAAAGTACCAGGATCTTTTGTATAGTAAAAACTTAGTAGAACTGCTACTTCTTTGCGAGCTTGTTATGTTGTAGAATCTTGCCGTTGTTTTAAAATTTATAAGTATTTCTCATTGACAAAACGTGTAGCTATTTCGGTTAGGATAACTTGTAAAAAATTTTCTTTGGTCCAATATTTGCGAATTTTCTCATAGAAAGGTTCAAAAATAAAATCAAGACTTTGAACAAAATTTTGTAAATAGTTATTAATATCTGCTCCATATATCTTAATTACAATTTGATTATTTGGAGGAAGTTTAACAATAATACATTGTCTCATTTGAGTTTTTCCAGCGCCTGGAAAAGCTGGAACAATCATTGATTTTGATAATGGAAGATCGCCAGATGGAAAAACATGCATAGAATCGTAAAACAGACGACACTTACTATTAATACTTTCACTTTGTTCTGCACTGGAATGTGATAAAGGATTATCAATATTGACAAGACCATAATAATGATTAAAATCACGGTGTGAAACTGTAATTAAATTGCATGCACGTGGTGGTTCAGTAACATATCGCCATGTTAATGCTATACTCAACACTAAAATGGAACTACCTATGATGCATAAACGATTACAACCGATGAACGATGAAGCCATTTTTCATGCAAACACTGTTTGCGGTTTACTACAAACAGGGGAAAAAAGTGTAAAACTATTTATTTTTATTTGCTTTTGTTTCAATCAGTGGTTAGATAACGATAAGAATTTATGTAAACCGACATCGTTTTTATGACACAGGAAATGTACTTTATCAGTTGAAAAGCATGTTTGATCATGCAACAAAATGTCTCGCTTATTTATAGAATTTGATTTTTCTCTTATCTTCATACGATATTTTGATGGTAGTGTTCCATTTGTGTTTATTCCTTTAATATTTTGTTTCTTTCATGATACTACAAATGTATAATCTGTATCCGATCGATTATTTTCATTTTGAATTGGAACAGTACAAAAGTTATTTCGCCAGCCTTTTGTAGAAATATTGAAAGACCGACTCTAGTGTGAGTATTAGTGTCAGTGCAGTTCCTTATGTTCCTTCAGTATCACCCCCACCCTCGAGCTTTTCGAAGTTCGGTTTAGTTCACTTGGATGTTCTAAAAAACGTTTGTGAGTTAAGGATGTTTGGTCTTTGATAAGCAAATCGAAATGATACATCGATAAACTCAGTTCAATCATTTATTTGGTTAAATTAACCATTAAGACTACATGTTGAAATTGATAATAACGACTCAATATCTCGTTAACTATTACTAATAAGGAATTAAATTGTACCAATAGCTCTTATTTTATTAATATTAACTATTAATTAAAGTCGATTAAGCTATACGTTGATTAATAAGCTTGTTAGCGCAGTCCTTTTGGAGCTGAAATGTGAAATTCACATATGCTCATTAGTTTCATTAAACTAATACAAACTAGGCGAAGTGAAAAACCCTCATACATTATAGCTGTGTTCAAAGATAATCAATCAGAGTGAAATATTGCATCTTTCAACCATGCCGTGTTCTGATAAATTTCTACGATTCGTATTATCTGTACTACATTCGATATTTTAGTTTAGTGTAAGATGACGTTGTGATATCATCGTTTTCTCTGATATGCACAATTATGACAATCAATGAATAGATAGACAATTTTACTGCACTCGAAAGACATGATCGAATGAAGAGAGTGAAGAAAAATTTGTATGGATGTTCGTTAAAGACGGATCATAATGGCAATGCTGACTTTAAAAACAGTGTTCAAGTTATGAGTTGAAAGATGTTCACTAATAGAGGTTTTACTGTAAGTATATATATCACCTTTGTAAATGTATGATAGGACTCTACTTTGAACCATGAAAACGAATTGAAAAAGGGAATGGCATCCATCAAGAATAATGTTTGGCGGTTTATTTCAAGTGTATCTGAGTTGTATGTATTACATATAAAAAAAACTACTACAATCTACGTTAATTTAAAAAAAAAACTCAGGCTTAACGTTTTGTCAAGATCAATTTTTCTTAAGGAAATTAAATTGTCTTTCTTTTTTCCTATATGTTAGAGAGCTGAACTTGGAAATGGCACTTTATTTTTACTTTAGCAAGTAAAGCAAATTAGCTAACTTTGGTTTATCGGTTAAGTAAAGTAAAGTTAATGACAATAATTAAAATTAATTGTTGATTTTCTAGCTCAACATCGTACATTGATAATAGTGATGCATCATTATCAAAGTATGCTATTAGACTCCAAAACTGATATTACATTGCCAGTATTTAAATTCACTTTCCTCTACTTTACTTTACGTTTTGGATAAAGTATATATATATATTACTTTAATGGATAAAGTAAAATAAAGATAAAGTGTCAGCATCAATCTAGGTAATGATTCCAAAAACGGAGCAATAGTGTCATTAACACCAGAAATGCTTCAATTTCTAAAAAGTCAAAGGGACACGTTTTTTTTGAAAAAACAACAACCGTTATATCAGTCTCGAGGGGAAAACAGCAGGGTTAAAGACTTGAAAAGACTGCAGATGACTTCGACATATTTTAAAAGCTTTACCTCAAAAGTTTCTTAAGATTTCATAAGACTTCAAAACAGGAATGTGTTCAAGACTTTTCGATGGAGAGGGAGATCAATTCGTGTCGTTGAAATGATATTAATTATCAGTTGCTGTTTGCTGTAAGGCGTTTTCGTCAATATTATCTTTAGGCCTCTTGTTTAATATAAAATATGGCCAATATCTTTGTGCTTGTTCCTCATTAGTTTTGATGAATATTTGCTAAAAGATTTTACCTAGATACTATTTATGGGAATCACAAAATAGAAGAAAATTATCACCATAAAGGATGCCCTATAATAACTGAGGATAAACTATCAAGGAAATTTTTCACATTTTTTCTTGATGCAGGAGGCTGAGATTTTTTGTTACTTATATATCCGCCTAAGATCTTTAATTTTTCAAAGGTTCAGCTCTCTATGTAGGATTAGCGCTGAAATGCATGGGCAAGTTTGAAATATATGAATTTTCGTACTTGAGTTTTTTGAAATCTTTATTTCTAGATCAGTCAAATTTATTAACCTTTTGGTGTCAGCCGTGGTATATATATCATGCCTGGCACCAAAAGATGAATAGTGCATGAAAAGAAAATTCGCAAGACAATTTTTTCAAAAGCCTTAAATTATAATAAAACTCAATCTATATGAATATACTCTCAATTGCTTTGTATGACTGATTGTAATTGATGAGATGTTTTGTCTATGGTTTTTGCACATGTTTCTTTCGAAAATTTCTTCGATTTTTTTGCATTTTTCTATAATTGCAATGATGTATAAAATACTTTTGCGTGAACATTTTCTTTAGTACCTCCCACACATCTTTAGTTCTTCATACATCAGCAAATTCAGCATCACTATCTACTGATTATGTACTTCCACTACATTATTGTGCTACGGACCCTGTAACCATCAATTCAAATTGTTTTCAGATGATTTATATTCAAAACAGTCAATTCACAATCTTTTGCGGTTTCGTAACTGGTAAAGATGTAATAAAAAAAATTATCATTAAATCTAACACATTTTACAGATAAATGCATTGTTAAATATTTAAAATAATTCTTAGGTACTCTCTCATCATTGACTAATTAGTAAAAATATTACTAAAGTTTAGTACAACAATTCAGATATGTCAATCTTGTACATATATTTGAGTACTAATTCTCTCTAGACAGTTGAAGTTTTGGAATATTAAAAATTTTAGTTGGATATATGATAATTGATAAAAGTTTTAAGGGAGGAGGTTGATCCCTCCAATCTCTCCTCTAAATACGTCGCTGCTTCAAGGCTGAAGTATCTACTAGTTCCCTCTCTTTAAGTCCATTAAGGACGAAAACATAAATATGAACAAAGAAGAATTCCTTCGATTATTTCCACTTTCACAAGTAGAAATCGAATAGACCTAAGTAGATACCAATCTTTTTATTTATTGATGTTAATGAAGCAATATTTGTTCGAGTTGACATTTATGAAAACCAACGATGATTGAGAGACATCTATTTATACTTTTTCTTTTACCTTCTGTTTGACATTTATCACTCTATATGGAATGAAGCATTTCTTCATAAGTCGGAACAATATCCCTATCGATTGATGTTATTGTCCATAGCTGACATAATATCATCTACCCAACTGTATGTTTTTCCTGCGTACTTCAATCGGATTGTAGTAATTTTTTTTCGTAAACATATCGCTTTTGCGAGTGTTAGTAAATTTCACCAAATTAGTACGCTTACAAAGGCATCTTCTCTTGTCAGTTGATTCATGCTGTCTCAAGTATTTATAAAACTTGATTTCCAAATAATGAAAGAAAGATATAAGTGTGAAGATGAGCAGGAAATTTAGAGATCTTCAACCAAACCAGCTTTCTTCCGGAGTTTGCATGTATTTTGTGTTGGATAAATAGACAAACATACAGGTTTATAGAGCAAAACTAGCTTTATGAATTAGAATATTACTCGAATAAATTCAAATGCATTTAAGACAACAAATATAACCAGACATTGATAAACGTTATTAGCTACAAAAAAATTATAACCGCTCAAAGAATAATTTGAGAATTACTTGACAAACTCTATTGTAACTATTTATATGTTTTTTTTGTACCTTCAAATATTCACATTCAATAAGATTCCAGAGTGATGACACTTAATTTCATACTATCTTCATTTGTATTAGAAATATACGATGATTACGTAAAACCATCCCTTAATGTCCTTCACACTCAATTAGGGAGCTGCAAATACACATTTTTGTGAACTCAGATTTAAACCCGGGTTTTGTTCTACCAATATCTGCCATCCTCTGTGTACATGAATAAGTGAAATATTAGGGTTTTAACTATTTATTGGCTATTCTCAGAAAGAAAAATCAATTTACAGTCATCTTTTTTCTTCACTTTCCCATCACTCAATGCTTTATAAGTTAAAAGTTTTCGTTTATTTGAAAAGAGCATTATCTGAACAAAAAAAAAAGAAATTCAACAGATAGTCGATGAAAAAAAAATTCGTCATTGAACATTGTCAAACAGACACTAACATCGAAAACTTCAGATGCATAGAATAGTTTTAATTGTATTTATGACAACGAGATCAAGCAACAATATATTCTATGCAATCAATTTGAAGATGCACTTATTTATAAATCATCTTCTGGTACTAATTCATCATCTAAGCATATTTATAGATGTCAAAAAAAAATTAAAAAATGAAAGTTTCCAATGCTCAAACACGTATCAGTCAGTTTTATGCATCTTTACAAAATGAACCAGCTATTCCCGATCTAGTTAAGTAGGAAATTAACATATACTTGTGCCAACTTTACTGAGCTTCACAAGTGAAATAGATTCTTATTGGATTAATTGGTACCATTAACACTGCCGAGTGATTCTTTATATAGAGAATGTGAAAATATTAGAAACAACATTGTTCACATGGAATACTTTTTCATCAAATGAACTGACTCAAGCTCAATAAACTGGATGGTCCATAAGTTACCGGGCAGTCTTTGATTGCGAATAACTTTTAATGAGAACAAGATAGAGATCTGTGGTTTTC